TAGGCTGTGATTCTCTGCGGTTAAACCTAAGACCCTTGAAGGAGATTGGTTAAGCATGATTTCCCTTTTGTGAAGCCAATGTTGACTATTCCTGATCACCTTCTTGTCCTCCACATGTTTAGAGATGGCCTCCAGGATGAGCTGTTCCATCACCTTTCCAGGGATGGAGGTGAGGCTGACAGGCCTGTCGTTTCCTGGCTCCTCCTTCTTGCCTCTTTTGGAAGACTGGAGTAACACTGGCTTTCTTCCAGTCCTTCCAGGCACCTCTCCTGATCTCCACGACCTTTCCAAGATGATGGAGAGTGGCCTAGCAATAACATCCGCCAACTCCCTCAGCACTCGTGGGTGCATCCCATCAGGGCCCATGCATTTGTGGATATTAAGTTTGCCCAAATGATCTCTAACCCAATCCTCCTCCACCAAGGGAGGGTCTTCCTTTCTCCAGACTTCCTCTCTTGTCCCCAGGGTCTGGACTTCCTGAGGACTGGCCTTAGCAGTGAAGACTGAAGCAAAGGCGGCATTCAGCAACTCTACCTTCTCTGTATCCTTTGTCAGCAGGGCACCCACCCCACTCAGCAGCAGGCCCACGTTTTCCCTAGTCTTCCTTTTGCTCTTGATGTATTTGAAGAAGCCCTTCTTGTTGTCCTTGACATCCCTTGCCAGGTTTAATTCCAAATGGGCCTTGGCCTTCCTCGTCACATCCCTGCATATTTTTACAGCGTTTCTATTTTCCTCCCAAGTGGTCTGTCCCTGCTTCCACCTCCTGTAGGCTTCCTTCTTCTGCTGGAGTTTTGCCAGGAGTTCCTTGCTCATCCCTGCAGGTCTCCTGCCTGTTTTGCTCGACTTCTTACTCAGAGGGATGCACCTGTCTTGAGCCTGGAGGAGGTGACACTTGAATATTAACCAGCTTTCTTGGACCCCCTCTTCCTTCTAGGGCCCCACCCCATGGGATTCCTCCAAGTAGGTCCCTGAAGAGGCCAAAGTTAGCTCTCCTGAAGTCCAGGACTGCGATCCTACTTATTGTCCTGCTTCTTCCTCGTAGGATCCTGAACTCCACTGTCTCATGGTCACTGCAGCCAAGGCTACCTTCACATCTCCAACCAGCCCTTCCTTGTTTGTTAGTACAAGGTTCAGTAGTGCACCTCTCCTCATTGGCTCCTCCACCACCTGTGTCAAGAAGTTATCCTCAGTGCTTTCCAGGAACCTCCTGGATTGTTTGTGCCTCACTGTGTTGATCCTCCAGCAGGTGTCAGGGTGGTTGAAGTCCCCCATGAGAACCAGGGCCTGTGATCCTGCGGCTACTTCCAGCTGTCTGTAGAAGGCCTCATTGACTTCCTCTTCCTGATCAGGTGGCCTGTAGTAACCCCCCACAACAATGTCACCCGTGTTAGTCTGCCCTTTAATCCTCACCCATAAGCTCTCAACCTGCTCTTCATCCACCCCTAGGCAGAGCTCCATACACTCCAGATGCTCTCTCACATTAAGAGCAACTCCCCCACTATTCAGAACTTAATGGTTCTCCTTTCCTGCTTGCCATCCAAAACTTTTTGGAGAGAATGCACATTATGCAAAACAGGATATGTTTTTAAATATCTTTAGGGTATGATTAGGTATGTATTAACGCTTTATATAGTCACATTTGACTGTATTTTTATGGTCATTTGCTTTTCCAGTGAAATCTGGCCCTTCCAGTTGTATTACCATTAGTCTGTGAGCCTCAAGGTCAACCAAAGATAACGTTTGTCATTAGAAAATTACAATATGGTAACTGGGAGTTGACAGTCTATGATAGCACTTTATTTTTACTTTCTCTGCCATTATTTTATGCTGCTGTTTAAATAATTTTTATGACCAAAATGCTTCTGTTCAATCTGAGCAGATTACTGCCGGATTTGATCAGCATATTATGGTTTTTCTGCTATTCAAATTGCCGTTTGTTAGAAACTGATATTCAACAGAAGAAATGAAGGGGTATAATGGTCTGCAGAACACTGTAATATGAAAGGATGTAGCCCGCTTAATAATAACAAAAAAAATCTATTTTGAGTTATGACTTCATTCGCAGGGAAAACTTTTTTCTGTACTGTAATTTTTAAGTGACTACTTTGTCAAAACATCTACTCAGAAATGTTTTTGGACATTTTTGAGATTCTCTATGTTCTTTCTCCCTTATATGACTTTGATATGACTAAGAGTTCTTGGATTTATATGAATACTTACAGTAATAGCAACTTAATTCACTATATTAAATCATAGATAATTGAAGCATAATCAAATAGAACTGATAGTTACATTATAAATCCTTTTCTTCATGTTCTCTTATTCTCTCAAATAGTTTTGGTTAATCTGCTGTTAGATTAATTCTTATTGACCCAGATCTTGAGAAGTAATTCACTGGGGATTAAGAATGCTCATTGCTTGTAAACATCAGGTTTCTCTATTCAGTTTCCTTTGTAGGTGCATTTTTAAAACCTTTCAGAAATGAGAGGACTTTCTGAAGATGTGAACATGGTTACCATATACAAATGAATTATAAATGAATTATCTTGGCATCTGTAGTGTAGCAATACCTACCTTCAAGAGGAAAACATTGTCCATAGAGAAAAAGAAATATTAGGTTACTCTTAAACATTCAGCTTTTGTGCAGAAAATGAATTGGACTGGCTTTAGCTAATTTGGGGAAAGTTTAGGTAGATTGAAAAAAAGCAAAAACTTGGGCTGATTTTTGTCATTTGTCAGTTCTAGTAAGATAGTCTTCATTTTAAATAAGAAAATCTTTTTTTGTTTTAGACTTTATTAATGCTTGAGCGTTCTATCCTGCACCTCTCAGCAGTGACAATGCTATTCCTAGTATCTGAAACTGAAACCAAGAACAACAATTGTACCTCTAGCTACTTAACACTTTTGAGCCTCTAAAACTACAGAAACAACAGGTCTGTGTACTTGGAGCTGCCACTGAACATATGGTTCTCATATTTAGCAGTCTAAGGTGATAAACCTTCCTAGGATTTCAAAGATTTGATTCCAAACACCAGCCTAGGAAATGAAAAAAAAAAAAAAAAAAAAAGGCCAATTATGTAGTTATACCAAAAAAATCTACAGTATACTAAATGACCATCAGCGGGTATTAAACAAAGAGGGAATAGCAGAATGCAGCAGTTGCTTCCAACAGAAATTATAATTTCTATGTAATTTAGCAAAACTTTAAGCAACAGATTGCTTTACAAATAAATTCCCCTGGCCAAAACTACTTTCTCCTGCAACCTTTTGAAGTGTGACCCTGTACTCTCATCATATTAAATATAGAGGTATCTCAGGGTGATCATAAATGCCTTCATGCCAAGCATCATACAGACACAGCAGTCTGTTCCTGTCTAAAGAGCTTAGCATTTAAAGAGGCAACAAGACGCTTATGTGAGAAACAGCAGATCACACAAGAAGAGTAAACAATGTGTTGGCAGTAAATATGATGTTAGTTCTTTTGTTAATAGGAGGAAGGTAATAAATTTGCTCAAAAAGAAGGCAAGCTGCAAGGAAAGAAAAAGGGAAGGAGAATTATGAGGATAAATTGTATCCAATAGTGTTTTATAGGTACCTTTTCTTCTAAGAATTGAAAATTAGTCCCTACATATTTTATTTTTTCTATCAATAATACTTCAATTGATATTAAGCTGTGGACAAACTAAGTTTCTTCCTAACAGGGAAATGATAATAGTCTAATTTAAATAGAAGTCCAATATAAATATAAATAAAAGTAATCTGAGATATGTATTTTTATATAACTACAGAGCAATTAGTGGTACTCTTTCATTTATGTGAGACAAGAACCTTTACATTTGTTTCTCAAGTCCCTCAGCTCTTTTCTTGGCTTTAAAGATGTGCAATAATTATTGGTAATACTTTAGGTGCTAGATCTAAATACTGCCAAATTCCAAAAGAATACTTTCTACAATGTTCTTATCTGTCAAAATAAATGTGTTCTGTTGCAAGTTAACGGAAACATTAGGAAACATTATCCCCTGGCTAGTTGCTTTTGTCACTCAGTTTGCTAATACCAGACTTAACTGGGATATATCCATGGGATTCTGTGTTTAACTTTGCCTTCCATTTTCTTAGCAGATTCTCTGCTTCTAATGGTTGAACATACAGTTGGTTTCTGCTGCAGCCTGGTCCATTATAATTTTTCTTTTTAAAGCTTCTGTGAACAAAAATGAGAAAAATTTCATTTTCCAATTCTTTTCTCTCCAAAGTGCTGTTTCCAGTTTTGTTTTGTTTTGCTTTGCTTTGCTTTCCTAAATGGGACTCCTTCCAAATACTAATGATTTTTGGAAGACTAAGTAAAGCCAAATGAAGGAAAGACTTACTTCATCCTGTGAAGACATCCTCTTTGGTCATGATTATTCTCAGGTTTGAGACTTTCACGAAACACAGGAAAGTATCTCAGGGTCTAAGTGAGTGGTGATAGCTTCCAAATCCCTAAACTTTTTGGAAATGAAGCTGGTCAGCCAGTAACTAGGCTATGTGCAAAGATTTAATTAAAGATCCTCCTCCAAATGCCAAGTATAACAAATAATAATGCTGAAATGGATAAGGAAGCAACATGCTGGTTTGTTGTCGTTTTAAATAATATTGTGTTCCTCCATATGTAACACCTAAATTCAAAAGAAGACAATAATTAAAAGCCAGAGAAGTAAGAGTGTGGAAATTTTAAAAGTGAAAAGAGCAGTTAAAATAGCACTGATATACTTAGGAAAACAGTCTTTTTTCCTTTATTTCACCCTGAAGATTTGGTCTGTGAAAAATCAAATTCTCTGCATCCAACTGGCTTAAGTGCATATCTCTGAGACATATTCAGCTGTAGTCAAACTGATCCAGAGGGAATAAGATTGAATGTATGAACCACCTTTGCCAATACAGAAGATATTTGTAAAACTACATTAATACTATAACTGCTGATTAATAGTTTAGTTTGTAAAGTGTAATTTCTTGTCTAATTTCAGACTGTAGAACTAGAGGACAGTTTAATGCGTTTTCATATCACTTTCGGGGAAGACGTTCTCTTGATTACAGCTTTCAGGATGACAAGCCCTTAAAGAAAATGAAAATGTCTAAAACAGTAAGGTGAGATTTCTTTTTCTCCTTTTTTTTTTTTTTTTTGTTAAGATGTATGAAAAGTATTTCTTTTCAAATTGGAATGAAGCTGAATGACTTCTTTGTAAACACACACTATTTTTTTCCAATCTCTATATTTTCAAGTTTATATTTGAGGTATTTCATTCGGACACTTCCACATATCTACTAACAGTAAAAATCACCTTTTTTCAAGCTCAAATTTTTGTAAAACATTTTTTGTGCGTGACACAATATTGTACTTCAGTTCTTCCTGTGTTTTTCAGGAGAAAAGTCTGTAATGAAGCTTATTTGTGGGGATTAGGAATCTCACAGTCCTACTGTGCCTGCGCTATCCAAACTATATTAAGAAATTATTTCCTTTTCTCCACAGAGCTGCCAGGCCTTAATGTAGAAATAAGAGGGAGCCAACTGTTGATTATAGTACTATGGTATTTGTACCATTTGATAATGGTACAGATTGCTTCTAGTACCAAAATACTCAAAGTGGGAATGGAGGAGAGGAGTGCTACAGAGAATGTTGTTTAGAAATCCATAATCCTCAAAATATTCTAGCAGGGAGGTAGATCACAGTGTCAACTATGTGAAGTCCTTACCATTTCCGGGGAATCAAAACTTACCTATGAATTAGTGGAATAAATGGGTTCTGCTCAGATCAAACATTTCATGATGCTTGAGAAAAAATAGAACCGAAGATCCTTCATAGTGATCAAATTTAACACCCTTTTGAATTATCCCTCTCTCCATGTAGCATGCGTGCTTTTAGCAAATAAAATTATTATTTCTTCTTATGTATCTGGTTTTTGGGCAGAATACTGGTTTGTGTTCAAGCAGAGTCTGCCCACTCAAAGCAAGGAAACCAACTAGCTAGCTAAATAGATATATCAGTTAATTTATTTCAGTAATTTTAAATACTAATGAATGTTGTAACACTGAAGATAGAGCTGGAAACTGTTCTTAATTAATAGAACCTTTAGATGTTTAGGATAAGATGCATGTCTTCTAATTTTAAACAAGAAAAGCCAGTGGATGAGACTAAGCTCCCTTACAGACAGCAGAAAAAGAAAGATTCCTTTCAAGGAAACCTTGAATGAAGGATGTTTCATTTGTCATTGCAAGTGAACTGTTACAGGCTTTTAAAGGTACATAACAGCAATTCACATTTTAAGGATCTCAGTCTCATAATTATGAAGCTGTAAAAGTGTTAATTTGTGTGGAAATGAAAGCAATAAAAAATGAATTGGCTATATCTTAAAAATAGGTAGCTTTCATTAACTTGCTATTTAACTATATTTCAGAAATAAAGCTAAAAAATCTACAACATTACAGTTGCTAGTTGGGATTACAAAATAGTAAATTGACAATACTTTATTTACATAATAGCTAGAGCTATTGCAACATCATTCATCAAACATTCAGTTTTCATGCTCAATTTTGTATATAAGTTGCATTCTTGGTAAGAGGAGTTCTTTCTGTTTCTTTTTTTTTTTTTTTTTTTTTTACGTATGATCAATAACTAGAGCAGGTGGGGAAGACTGAACTAATTGTTACACAATAAAAGCTGATTTACTTGAATTTTGGCATGTTGTGTGGCTTAGAGTTCTTTTTCTTTAATTTAGAAGAGAAAGTATGTGAAACAAAGTAGCTTGAACACCTGCCAATTAGTACTGCTTTAATTTATGCAGAAAGATTATAAATCATGAGTTCTGTTTTGGGAGAGAGTACTTCTATGCCAGTTCATTCTTTGGGTATTACTTAGCCCTGGAGAAGACATACTAATAAATAGGAATGCTTGGTTACATGAATTTACGAATTTAAAGATCTGAATTATTAACACTTAATAGTTACTGTTATCCCTGCTATTGAATGCATGCTTTTTTAAGTCTTGCCAAATAATACAGTCTATTATGGGCAATTCCTTTGATAGCCTTATACAATTTTCCCACCAACAGATTGAACTGGTTAATACAATTGAGTATGGTAGATCTCTATCACTCTATCAGAGATCAGCTGGGCAATGCAGTAGACAAAAGACTCTAGTGTATTGTGTGTACTGTAATCAGTATTGATTTTAAACATGAATTAAATTGGACACGTGTCTGTCCATATGTAGAAGTATTTTTTTCTCCTTTATTTATGAAAAAACATTTTCCTTTTTAAAGATGGTTTTCTTTAAATATATGTTTTGCTAATGAACATTTAGAGGAAGAAACTATAAATTTGAAGACAAAATATGAATTTAATTTTAACAAGTAATACTTTTTACTTTTGTCTGCTTTTGTGTTTAAAAGCTCAAGAGATTCACTGGTTCTTTTCACGGTGCTGAAAAGGGTGTTGCTTTAGAATATCACTGCTGACAACTTTGTTTCCCACTGCACAAAATGCATGCATTATTCTTCTCAGTGGAAGAAATTTCTTGTCACTAGTGTGACATAACAGTAATCCATAACTTACTGAACCTGAGCCTGTGATCAGTGCTGGTGGATCTGGTGTCCTATCGTGGTTCATGTTTGTTTGTTGCTCTTTTTACATTCTTGCTAAGTGTTCTAAAATATCTAGGCAGATAAAAATGTGCTAGGTGAAGATCCTGATTTGGTGTTCATTTGTTGTAGTTCTGTGAAACGGAGTAAATATTTTCATAATGCCACATCGGCATCTGATGAAAACAGAAACATGCCCATAGTGAATGACTTCAAAGAATTTGTTTTGGAAATGCAAAAAACTATTTCAAGCCTCAGAAACCAGGTAAGATGCTATAATGTGTAATTTCTAATTGTAGATTTAATTTATAATGTTTTCATAATATCACTCCACTGATGTTTTTAATATTTAGACATTTACTGCAACCAAAAAACACCAGTTCAAAAAAAACAGTACACAAAACATAGTGTGTTATCATTTTTGTTTCTATATGCTTTTGAAATCATACTTAAATACTCTATAATTAGATCTTCTTGACTTTGAACTTGAAGCCTTATGTAACCATTCTAAACATGTAATTAATCTTTCTGTATGAATTTGTCTGTGGAGGTAGTAATTTTTTTTTTCTTTATGCTTTTGTGGATTTTAAGATCTGAAGTGTATAGAGTTTCTCTAAGTAAAACTGTGATTGAAATGTAAAGTTTTAATAAGAAGTAATATGCCAGGCTGCAGCTGTAAACATAGTTAAGATTCAGATCATTTAGAGAAGACTTTTATGATGTGGCATAGAAAGCCTCTTTATTCAAAATAACTCAGCTATAGTGGAATTTCATTTAAGAAGTGTATACCATACAGGGCAGATAAATCTGAAGTAGGACAAAATTTTTGCCTAGAATAATTAAGTTCCTTCAGAGCAGCTTCACCGTTTAATTTAGAGATATGACCCATATCTTTATTTGTATAGTAGCTTGACTTCATTTTTGCTGGTATTATTTAATCATTGCACTCATCAATAATTTTCCCACTTTGACAGTGGAAACACTATGATAGGCCAAGTTAAGATTGTTACAGTTTGATTGGTTCTATCTTTTTTTCAGAAGCAGAAAAGATCTAGGGATTGTTTAAAAATGTTTGACTAATTAGTGTTCCCAAGAGGCACACAACCAGGAAGCTAAACTAATGATATGGTCCTTTTTCATGATAAGAGAGAAAATACAGATAAAGATAATCTTTGATTTTACCTTGTTTTCATTTTCATTCATGTTGGTAAGTTTAGACTTATCTTTCCATTCACGTCAGATGTAGTTTGCTCATCTTTGTATGCTCTAGATGTGCATTCCAATGGCAGGAAAAAAACACTGTGTTAGTTTTCTTTTGCAAATGCTGTATTGCCTGTTTCTAGTCTTCTAGTCTTTTGGAAACTAAGTAGTCAGAAGGAAAAATCAACAGCAGTATTTATCATGGATTTCATAGCACAGCAAAAAAGACAGAATGCCTTACAAAAATAGAAACTTTACTTTGGTTCAAGGATTAACTTTTTCTTAATATTTTCAGATAAAAAAACTTGAATCACGCCTCAGTAAAACTGATTGCACTGATGAAAAGGGTAAATCATATTCCAGCAATGAAACCTGGAAAAGGGACCCTTGCACTGTGTGTGAATGCAAAGTAAGTATGGTGAAATCCTTTTTTGGGATATAAAATATATTACATTCTACTTCTAAAACAGAGTTACCAGTTTTGTGCTGCTAATTTCTGGCTAGTTTCTGGCTAATTCCTTTTTATGCATCATCAGTTATTTGCTACAAAACCTGATACTGTACTGCTATTCCAGTGTTGAAGAATCCAGCCTTCACATAACTTTTTTATTTCCAGAGACTTTTTGAAAAGGTCTATTAAAAAGAATAAGAATCGGCAAAAGCTCATCTAGTTTAGTTCTAAGATTTCATTTTTGTTTTATCATTGTGAAGTTTTTAAAAATGTAGTTTTTAGGAAAAAAATGTCTAGGTACTTGCAATCCTGGAGTTTCATGGCTGAATGTTAGATAAAATGATATGTTGCTCCATTAAAGAAGTTATCATGCAAAGACAATTCTAAATACCAGTTTATACCAAAATAAACTATGTGGAATTTATCTTAGTAGTCAACAATTTAGAGAGAATGAGAATATATTATTCAGTAACATGAAATATGTGTTTCTTGTTTTGAAACTATAGCTAAATATGTTATATTTTTGTTACTTTTTCTTCTGACATAGGTTGGTCAGATTACCTGTTTTGTAGAATCATGCCCACCAGCTGATTGCGAAGCACCTGTTAAAGTTAAAGGAGATTGCTGTCCAGTCTGCTTAAAACAAACTAGTAGTAAAAAGAAGAAACCATAAGTCTTCTTTTTAAGAATTTAGGGTGCATCCTCATCAAATCATATCAATGCCTGCTGATGGCAAAAACAGGTAACTACAGGCTTAAAATAACAGCAAGAAACCAAGATTTGCAAGACAACATTCTAATGGTGCTGTAACAGTGTAAGATAATGTATCATTTTATTATCTGCCCATAAAGGTAATCACAATGCAAAACATATCGAAAGGGAAATAAGCAAACAGGTCAACATTAATTTTGTGTTAAACTTCTCAGGTTAGACAAATCCAACTGGTGCTACTTTAAAAGAACACTGTCAAGTAGGTTTAGGCTTCCAAAATGACCTGGCTTAAGATTTATTTACTCTGAAAAGAGCACTTCCCATCTATAAAAAATTCGGGACAGTAAAAGTTTAGTCTCCCTCTTTAGTATCAGTCTAACTTGATGTGTAGCTCTTTGTTATTATTTAGTGAATGCACAGAAAAAGAAAAGATCACTGTGCCCAGAACAATGCCATATAGGGCCAGTTTCTGCAAATCACCTACACATGGACCTCCTGTAGAATCACACTGTTAGTTCTGCACGTGGACAAGGAAGGAAACAGAGGAAACTACATGGCACATTTCAACATCCTTTTATAATAATTCAAGGAGGAAAATTAATCATCATTTTCAAAAAACCCTCTAGAATTAGTTGGGGAATATAAACAAACACAATTGAGAGTTTAAAAAAAAAAAGCAGCAATTGAATGTATATCACAGATGTATTTGACAGTGTTCCTCACTTTAGGGAAAACAGATGACAGAGTAGCATTTGATCTTAAAATGAACGTATTCTTTTTTTGTCGAAACATATGTAATTGCTTGGCAACTTTTTTTTCATTTATTTTAAATCATTGTAACATGACCATCCAGTCCCGTTTGTAAGCATGCTTCTCTTGATCTCAGATATATGTATGGCCCTGTTTTGAAAATGTGAAAACATGTCACATGCCATTTTGTATACAAAGATACCTACTGATTCATTGTACATATTGTCAATAGACATATGTTCCTGATTATTTTGTGGCACTGTTTGTGGGGGAGGGGGGGGAAATCAAAATGAAGCATCATGATTAATCGTGGATTGACTACTTTTTCTGACAAGGTATTTGATTTTTTTTTTAAGGTTTTTTCCAGTTTCTTCTAATGCATATATATTTTTACCTCAATATTTTTATCATTCATGTTAGAAATGGTCTGCCAATGGACTTTATTTCCCATTTAATAAATATTTAACATTATAGAGTATATGTCTATGCTAGCATTTCAAAGTTTTATACTTTTTGGAATACAAACTGCATATTTTTGACCAGGAATTATATGTTATATTCAGTGAAGGACAACTATCATACCTCATTTTACAGGTTTTTTTTGTTTATTCATAATTGATTTTCTCCCTAAATATTTAATATTTTAGAATTTATGGCCCAGTCCTTAAGTCCCAAGTCATGTTTAACTAGAAACAGAACTCTTTAGTTATTCAGTTCACTGACTTCTGAATTTGTTATTAGAATTTATGGGGCAGAGATTTATTTATCAAAGAAATCTGCACAGCATTAAACTTTAATGTGTTAAAAATTTCAAATTGTAGAAACAAACTGAATACTTAATTCTTGCACGGTAAATCAAATGCCTTTCTAGTAACTAACCTATCACAACGATATGAGTTCCACTATAATATTTTGGCACATAATTTCTGTGATTACTAACATTAATAATTTCTGATTTGATAAACTGATTCCATAACACACATTCAAACTTTGCTGTATCTTTAAAGCTTACTACAGAACCTTGTTTCATAGTATAGTAAGAACAATCTCTGCATGTGAGCGGTGTTTTACAGATGTGTGGTAGAGGTACACGTGAAACTGCAATTTATATTTTTAAGAATATTTTAATTGATTTTATATACAAGGTCATGATTTATGTAATTTTCTATTTTAATACTTTTAGAAATTGTATGTGGCGAGCATGTATGAGTATCATACTGTTTCTAGAGGTCATCATTCCTGTATTAATCTTTGATACTCTAGTATTTTCTTGACTTTTGTTGAAAGTCCAAACCACATGTCTCGTACTGTAAGTCCAACTCAGATGGAGCTCCCATTGACCTAAGCAGGAATTCCTCAAAGAGGAAGGAATGCAGAGTTAAACCAAATATAATTTAACTGTCTAAACAGTTATATAGATCAGTAATACCTCCTGTTGGTTACTACTTACTTATTCCAATTTTATATTAAATAAACTTGCTCAAGATTTCAGCATATAGGAGATGAGAGTTTCCATTTATACATAATAAAATGGTACCGTATACCTGATTGTTCCTTTTCTCCAGTTTCCAGAATAAAATGAGGTTTTTTTTTCATTGTTCAGTGTTTATTCAAGTGGTATATAAAAGGGGCTAAAGAGTCTGAATATGCTTAAACAAGTCTAATATTGAGTTATCTTCGTTATCCGTCTGATTACAAAGCATTCAGGAAAAACAGGTCTTTATCCACAGTTTAAAATGTACTCAGTCATGGATTGTGCTAATTCAGTTTTACTGCAGTGTCTGCAGAATCAGCATTGATTTTAGCATTTCTGAGACAGTGGCCAATGGCTAGATGACCAATTCCCTCAGTATCCACTGTGAGAATATTGCTGTAATATGTTGCAAATTTCACATATTTATTTTCTTTTTTTAATGTTACCTAAAGCAAAATCTTTGTTATTTTTATTTTAATCAGTACATTTACCAAAGAACTGTTTGCACTGTGTAATGAATACTTTTCAGTTAAAATAAAATGGGCCACATTTCCAAGTAAGCTTGATTTCTTTTTGGTACATATTTTGTTTAGGTTAATATCTAAAGATTCCAGTATGTAGATTTTTATTACAGAATCATATTACTTATGCAAGATAGTCAGGATCGAGACTCCATTTCTGAGAACTAAATAATCAACTAAGGAAGTAAGTAGATAAACTCTTTAACATTATTACTTTTGAAAGTAAAGTATCTATTCACTGTACTCTTCCAGGTGATGGGAGAAAATATGTGTAGGCTCAGAAAAGCATATTTAAAAGTACAATTATTTCTTAGCACAAAAGCTTATTTGAAAGCTTTCTTGGTGTTAAAACATGTTTGTACAAAATAGCAGAGAGATATCTCTTGATGGGAATGTTGTAATACTTACCTACAGTCTACTCTTACAGTTTCTTCACTTTCCTCATCTCTTCAAATAGATCGTCATTAATTGCCTTCCAGCTGCTTTAATGTATTTGGTTCTACATTCATCCTTCATTCATTTCTTTCCACAAATGGGAGGCCAGGTTCATGCATTCTGTTGTATGGAATAAGCTGCTGCTGGAATATTGAGAGTGGGAGGTCCCACTGCTTGTGTCTGTTCTCTGCTGATACTTTTTATATTTTGGGCTGTAGCAAGGAAGCAGGACTCTCACCTTCCTAGGTGGTAACCCAAGGAGAGCAAAGGTAGAGCAGGATTAGGATGCTCTGCTGGTAACAGCAGTCCTGAACTACATCTGTTTGGCGCAGCTCTGAAATGGATCTCCTTTCCAAAAGAGATCCTTTTAATAACCTCCTCATGTTTCTTCATCACAGAACCTGAACAACTGCTGGAGTTAGGATCAGTTCTTCTCATCTTTTGGTGAGATATTAGGATCGCTAGGGCGCTGGTTGGTTCTTGTGTAAACTCTGCCTGCAGATAGATCCATTTCTTCATGACAACACAATACAAGCATATCATGATACAGTAGCGTTGCAGTTAATATAATTGTAGGTTTATCTTACAGTGAAAAGGCAGAAATTAAAAATGAAACCCAGGAGCTGCAGTTAAGAGTAATTTCAGGTTGCTGTTGACTATCTCTGCTTCAGTATAGTTTAACTTTGAATATTAAATGAAGCAATTCCATAAAAGTAGAAGTGCAATAGATTCATCCTGTGTTTTTCAGTATGCTGCTGAAATACCTCTTTTCTCTTCTGAAATATTGAGAAGTAGTATTTAGTTGCCATGCTTTAAAAAAAAAAAATCAGAGAAATCGGATTATTTTTTCTGCAAATTGAAGTAGGATTACTTTGACAAAGTACTGGCATACATTTTATAATAACTTAGATGGGTAGTACATGCTTCTCTTAACATACGTACTGAGTTCCTAAACCCAATCTAATAATAATCAAACATTTAAAATTCAATTATTTTGTTGTTTTGGGGGGGGGGGGGGGGAGGGTATGAGTCTTAAAGTATACCTTCATACTGAGAAGAAAATCTTTTTGGTTTCACCACAAGAGTAAAGAAGAATGAACCTTGAACAGAAAGTTTTATTTCAGCCTTTGTCTTATCTTTGTCTTAGTCCAAGCAAGTCAACAGCAAGGGTTACAGCCAGTTAGTTACCAAGAATTTTGCTAACCTTTATTAAAAAAAAAAAAAAAAAGCACTTATTTTATAAAAATAGTATTTCACTGCCATAGTGTCTGTCATTATATGATCTAAAATCTTCTTCCAAACATTTTTTTTTAATCCTGTGCAAGTCACATTTTTTCCTATACTCGTTACCAAATTAGTAGTCTTTGCAGTGGGATATTCAGGTATGTTAGGACTGTTCCATTGTTTTGTTGTGGAAATTAGAATGAGGTATCAAAAGCTGGTATTTTTGAGTAGTTTTATCAAAACTTCTGCATGATGCTGTTGTAATTTCCCGAAAACAGATTGAATATTGTGTATGTACAGGATAATACAGTTTATAAAATTACAAGCAGAAGGAGACTGATTACTGCCCTCTCAAGGCCTCTCATCTAGGGTGTGGGGTTCAGTTAAATCTGAAATATATATTTAACTGCACTAATTTTTTATTATGTATAAAAAAATAAGATCTGATATATAACAAAAAGCTTGTTATATGGCATATATGTCAACAACAAATACCCATGTGACTCATTCACACTACCCATATACCCAAATAGCCAAATAGGTCTCATTCATACTAAAAGTTAGCCTAAAGTGTTAGGCTCCCAGTGGAAAGATGCAATTAATAAGTTACTAAACATGTAATAAATTACTAAGTAAGCTTTACTCAACCACGAATGGCTTAAGCCCAGTGGTAAGGTATCCTATAGAGTAGCAAACTAATCAGAAGATACTATCCTTTTCAGCTTTGCATTATGATGTACCTAAGCAGGAGACTATACTGAGTCATGCAAAGGTAATATTATTGTCTGCTAGTATCATATTTCAGTGCAGACATGTTGGAAATAATAGACTGTTATTTTGCAATTATTTTGGCTGCTTAATTCCATGCAATATTTCCTTTTCTTTCCCTTTTTCCTGCTTAGCCTGCTGTGGCATAGGTGGGAAACCTCTGCACCTCCAACATCCCTTTGTTTCCTGCCCAGCACACTCACTCTCCTCCAGGCAGTGTTGTGAATGATCCTTTCGCTGTGCTTTAGCATTCCAGCCTGGAAACAGCTACAGCAGCATACGAATCAGATATATGTTAGTTACAAGAGGCTCTGGACAGCTGTGTTTATGTGAAAAGCTCTGAAATCGGTATCTCTGTTTAGCGTCAGAAATGCAACAGAACAGAAATTCCGATGATGAAGGAACAAACCTAATTGTTGCATCCAGTCAACATGTCTGTGTCTATTTGATGCCTCCCTTAGTAATCCAGCTTTACATTCCCACAAGTCACGTACTTCAAAAATGTTGCTATGTTGCCAAAAGAAATCACATTACGTACTTATATTTTTATAAGATGTTGTCTGCTGTTAACCTGGCTCATAGCCATTCCTAGGATCAGTGCAATAAGTGCTTTTGTCTCTTTTCATAGAGATTAGCGTGAAAAACGTACCCAGAGGGGCAAAAAAGTAATCAGGAACTATCCTGAGAAATGAAAAGGAAATGCTGTTGAGTATTTTTGATGGAGAGAAAAAAGAAAAGATTTCAACATGTACTCTGATTTTTTTTTTTCCTCAGAATCTGATGGTTCATTAGGAGTATATTGGTACTGATTAAATATACTAAAGCTACACCTATGCTAGATACCAACAAGGAGTCCTCATGCACCTGAAATCAATTTGACCATTTATTAAACTATGAGTGGTAATATGGTAGGCTTTTAGCTCCCCACCCCACCTGAGACAATGCCTTCATGTCTTTTTCATTCTTTTTTCTTCTCCATGCTTTCATAGCTGAGAGACATAAATATAAACTCAGACTACAGGCCAAAAAGTTTATTCTGGTAAGTTGCCTGCCGAAATCATCACAATGCGAGGCCTTAGCTTTCAGCGAGGCCTTAAAGACCTAAAAAGGATGCTTCTGAAAGAGGATTCAGAGTACTTCCGTATAGTTTCAGACATTAGATGAAGGGGCATATTTGAGTTCCTGTCTTTTTGCGTGCTTAGGTGCCAGATTCAGCACTATTTGTTATGAAATTTCTGTAATTTCAATTTCACAGTTTCAAGGCACTTTCAGAGTAGATGCTGTTTTGAGGACTCACTCTTTTCTAAAGTGCTGTTGCTACAGAAGGTGATCATCTTGCTACATATGGAAAGTGTAGATTTATTTCCCTCCTCTTCTAGCAAGTGTGACAGCTTTCATAATATAAAGAACAATTCCAATTACTGAAGGAATACGCAAGCTGTTTTAATTAAGGATTTTCTCTCCTTCTGTGGGTGAGAGTAAGTTATTCTTTTCAAACTATGCTTTTATTTAAAATTTCAAAATACTGTCACAGAAAAAAAAAACTTTTTTTAATTATGCTTTGTGGAAAGGGCCTTCTTGAACGTTATGCAACCACACAATGACCAGGGACATAATGAAAGTGGAGTAAATGTTTTGTTTCAGCTGAGCTGGCTTGGCATCACTGCATGCAGCCTCACTCGTTGCCAGGCTATTCTCTTACACTGAGGATATCTAAAGATTTCCTTGAGATTATTGGGATTTTCTTTTATATCAACAATCAATCCAAGCAATAACAAAAAATAGCTGCCTCAAGGTCAGAAAATAACAGATTGTTTCTGGAGTATGAAGATTTTCATGTGGTTTTTAAAACCTTTGTCTTATGTTCTTTCCTTTCTTCTCTAGTGGAATGCTATAGTAAACCCCAATCTTACCTCCCAAGCAGCTAGTATTTTCCATTTGAACTTTAGATGTATGTGGAACATGTGTCACCTTAGTTGTTTAAGATCAAGGATTTTACACATTGGAAGTGATAAAAAGGGTCATGGCTCCTACCTGTTGCTTTAGGTTAACAGATTTTTAAAGCCAAAAGAAGTCTTGTCTAACATCTGTCTGGCACATTAAACTGAATTCACCTGGTGTTTCTTACATTAAGACAGTATCTTGCGTTTGAATAAGAGCATCTTAAAAAGACATGCAGTTTAAACTGGAAATTTAAAAATGTGAATTCTGCATCAGCCTAGTGTAAGTTGTAATAGTTTATTACTCTCACAAAGAATGTGAATGTATATGAATATGTGTATATGTGCAGGTATTCAGCCACTGTGCTGCTTGTCCTATCCCTCAGGTTTCCCTTTTATATGCAAAATAGATTTCTTTTTTTTTTTTTAACTGCAAGGTTTTATGGGTGTGCATTCAGAGTTTAAGGTGACTGCCTTATTCATTGCCTCACACCAAGAGCCGATGTTCAGCCAGATCCCAAAGCTGCTTTTACCTATCTTATAGTCCGCAATTTTGTAAGCAGGAGTCACATTCTTTATTCCTCCATGGTGATCTTGTGTTTAACTATATTATAGTGATCAGTTGAGCTCATTCTAA